CGCACCTAGTCCCCGGAGTCCAATGTCTGCATGATCATTTCCAAAGTTGAACCGTGGACGTGGTACATTCTCAAACGTTTCGCCGGCATCTTCAGTGAGTATCGCCATTATTAGACCCATACAACAACTCGTCAGAGACAAATGAAGCCGATCCTTTGACCAAAGGTGTGGTAAACAATTGTGGTATCTCCCCCTCTGCCTTAGGTTATTCGCGTTTCCGGTATCATCATATCATGTCTTCACTATTACAATATTTACCGTGTTTATTTAGATATAGTGTGGTTTGCTCCTTTGATCAACATGAAACCTTCACACTCAGTCGTTCTCACCCCCCTCCCTTCATCCTTATGCAGGGAATGTTGATCAGAGTTTGCTTAGGAAAGAGGACTGCATAATAATAAAGCAGACTCAGATCAACATTCCCTGCACAATGATGAAAAGGGGAGGGTGAGAACGGCAGTTGGAGTGTGAAGGTTTCATGTCGCTCAAAGAAGCACACCACACTATATCTAAATAAACACGGTAAAAATTGTAATAGTGAAGACATGATATGATGATATCGGAAACACGAATAACCCATGGCAGAAGGGGAGATACCATAATTGTTTAGCACACGTTTGGTCAAAGGATCGGCTTCATTTGTATCTTTGAAGAATTGTTGTATGGGTCTAATAGACGATGCAGGCGAAACGTTTGGGAATGTACCACGTCCACGGTTCAACTTTGGAAATGATCATGCAGACATTGGACTCCAGACTAGGTGCGTTCCTCCAAGTTTTCGTACCAATATGACCATGTTACGAAAACAAGGTCAAACAGCCTCTATACAACGAAAGAAGACTTTGACCACACAAAAGGCCACACCATCTTGGTCTTCATACCTTCTCACTGATAAGTTGTAACTGCTAACGATGACGCCTCTCATTGGCGATGCCGGTGAAACGTCTGGGAATGTATCAAGTCAACTGTCCTATGCCGGAGATTATCATGAATTCTATGGCGGAGGATACAAAAGGCCACGTAATCTTGGTCTTCGTGTCTACAATAGTCTTACTATTTTTATTTTATACCTTACCATTTCCATAAATTAACGATTAGCAAGTCTTGATTTTAGCTTCTTTCTTAGATACCACACAGACATCCCACGGACCAAAATATCATAGCTACAATGGCCTTATTCTTTGCTACATTGGGTGCACGGTCTAAATGATCATTATTGTGGGCACCCAGTTGGGCTATAGTCAGGTCTCAAGTCCTTTCAGAGTCTGAATTATTTCTTCATGCTTTTTATTTTTCGGATCTTCTCTTTCATCTATCCTGTTACAACTCATCTAGCCAATCATTTGTCTCTCCTGGCACCCCAAAGGCGGCTACCTCCTTAGTCTGAGCCAGGCAGTGGAGACAAACCAGCTTACCTCGAGGACTGCTTGTCGGCGTCTATTGCTCCACAGATTGGCTGGTATGACGAGCCAGTCGCCGTTTGCTGAGGCCTTGGCTCCAGACTCAGGGCCTGGGGTGGATGAACAGCTCGGTAGTTCGTTTACTTCGCGTTTGCGACGCGCCGAGCATTGGCGTTTAGCTGCCTTTCATCCAGGGGGTACTAAACCCCACCTATACGTAACAAGCGACCATTTGGTTCATATTTTCGATCTAGCTGAGCGGAAGGAACTGCGGCGACTCAGGCTAGATTCCGCTTCTGACAAGATTTCCGCTTTTGCCGTCCACTCCTCGGGTAGGTTACTGAAGGCCATTATTTTTGCTGATTGTCTAAGTTTTAAGAATGGGGTCAGACCAATCTCTTATTGTACTTATATCAATGCTGACCTAGGCGCTGTCTTCATCAAGGCATAGCAATTTATTGTCACAGCGTTTTTTATTCCGCCAAAAGTCCCTTTTAATTCATAACCAGCATGCATTTCTCTATAGTATATTTAGGAATCGAGGTCTCATAATTTAAACTTATCGTGTGGATGAAAATTTTATTCTTTATCGAGATGCATAATTAGTTTGGATCCCTATTATTAATTACATTTGCACCCCAAACACAGGATTTTAAGTTATACATTAGATATATATATGTACTCTATTCAGCGCATATCCTTTAAGATAAGAGGACTTGGTAATTGATTTTTTCCCCACAATCATATTAGCAGATCTTAGATTTCCTTTATATTTCATCTTATATTGTTTTCCCAAAAAGTATTCTCACCAAGGGTTTACTGCAGTTCAGACCTCGCCTATGTCTTATCAAGAGCCCC